AGGCTACAGGTAGTAGAAACAAGGAAAACAGAGCACAGCGCTGATGAGATGAAATGAAGCAAGAACTATGGTATAGCTTATACGCAAGTGTATCTTGAAATTTTTGACAGACAAAAACTGACATAAAGTCAGAATTATTTATGCTTCCATTCTCACGACCGTAATAAATATATCAGTGGTTGAAGGCACAATTTTCTACCAGCAGCCATGCTTGCGTGTCCTTCGGGAAGCCGCGTGACCGAACTGATGTATTGACATTTGCCTGACGCAGTAAGTTTTTTTTTTTTGGTTCACAAGATTTGTTGTGTTACACCTCCTTCCACACAGCAGACAAGTGGTTTTGCGTATTTTAACGCATATCTAGGTGTGAAAAAAAAGAAGGGACACTCTCGCTAGAGATTAATTTTGTTTACATTAAGTTTGGCAGCGGCGAACATGGTTTACTTGTGAGTCATGACCGATACATCGGTTAAGGAATTAATCAACGAATACTTTATTAATTGAATAATCGGTAGGTAAGTCAATTCCTTTCCCTGCTCTATTCGGAACCATTTTCAGCTTGTCACGTTGTTTCCTCTCCAAAGCAATCTGCACTGAGGCATCAGAAGAATCGAGCCACCCAATCCCGTGTTCCTTTCTAGCAAGCACCGCAGAAACCTTATCATCTGCGCTTCCCCCCTGCACCGCACACCCCTTTTTGCTCTCCTTATTGCTCCCTGACAGATGGACAATTACTATCCTCCCGTCTTTTGCTAACACAACGCGAAACACCCGAGCGCGAACGCAGGAAAAGACAAACGGGCAACAAAGCCGAAAGAGGCACGCTCGAACAATACGTGACCTAGACCGCGCAAGAGCGATAGCAGAAAACAGTCAAATGTTGCCTGGCGCCCCCGCCTGTGCACCGTACTAAAGGATATTGTACGAGGGTGCCTGGCGGAAAAAACGCCACGTCTTTAGGACAAAAAAAAAGAAGAAAGAAAAGAATTGCCGAAAGTTTAGACTTTGCTAATGTGCAGCGCTGAAGGTTGAGTTAATAGTAAGTTTTCGTAGATCGTTTCCTCCCTCCCACCACGCTCTCCGCAACCAGTAATGAGATGGCGAACTCTGCAGGCAAGGCTAACGGAGCATCTGCGCAGTTGCGCCATCTTCGTTGCAGGAACCCCCCCCTCCCCCCACACACACACACACACTCACTCACTCACTCACTCACTCACTCACTCACTCACTCACTCACTCACGTACGCACGCACGCACGCACACCAAGGTCCTAGACCAGTCGCGGTCTAGTGTCACTTTTCTGTTCCACAGACTCGGTTACTGCCATCGATTTCCACGTTCTGTTGACTATGATTTACCGCGCTCGCTTTTCTCGCCTCACCCCCTGACCCCCCAGTAAGTACATCCGGCACTAGGGGCCGTTGTCTCCGAGGACGATCGGGAGGGTTTGCCGCGGCATGTAGGAAATATATAAGGCTACCAAGATGTGTGTGTGTGACCGATCGATGGAAGTCGGACCTCGGGCGACGACGCCGGTCTCGCGGTACAACCTGCGGGCCCCGCAACGCCGATCACTCCGGATATGAGACAGATGTCTGGGACGTCGGGCAAGAAGGAAGGACCGCTCCTCATATATAGAGACAGCCTGGGTTGGCGGCACGCCAGAGGCAGTTTGTCGGCTATGATCGACATTTTGATTTGAATCCCCCCATGTTCTCCTGCTTTTCTTACACTGCCTTTTGGCGTTCTCTTCTTCTTTCTGCTTTTTCCTTCTTGAATTAGGATCTTGTTTTTGTCTTTTCCTACACCTTCAGAGCACGTCTTTCGGCGAGGCATATGAAAGCAAACGTTAGCATGAAATCTCTTCCCGACAGAGCAACTATAGTCAATGACAGCTTTAAGAAACGCGAGGCTTTGTTTATCACGTTCACGCTTCTTGTCTCTTTGGCGTTCTTTTTGGGTGCTGCCGCAATCGATAATAAGAGGCCTCGCAGTCGCCAAGCCCTGCGTTTTTTTAGATTTCAGTGACTATATAGCTATAGCCTTTGTTCTCCCCACACACACACTCTCTCTCTCCCCGCCCTCTCTCTCTCTTTCGCTCTCCTCTCATGTCGCGCAAAAAGAAAGAAACAGCAACTCCCTCGTGTTTCCTGCGTCGAGGTGTGTTTCATGGTAGTCGGGTAAATGTGCCCCAGAGTTTATTCCATAAAATTGGCTGACGAACACAGTATAGTCACCCGTTTTTTATGGTCAGCCCTGCCGACTCCGATGGCGCCATCTTATTACTTTAAAATGGATGGCTGCCAATATGCGCGAAAGACAGTCCGGTTTTGTACTCTGATGTACGATAGCACATTTTCTCACGGAGGTAGGTGCTCGTTTTGGCTAGTTTTACCTAGTTCTGTTTTCATCTCGAAGCATACATGGTACGCCCGACAATCGTAGCAACATTTAAAAAAGCGCATTTCAATGTCACGGTGAGTCTATGTGTTTCGTACTAAACCAACCTTATTTATTTATGATAATGCCCGGCCGTGGTCCTTTTTGAGTAGTACACAGACTAAAATATATATAGTACGCTTCGCAATATGCGCATTATAAATAGATGTATGCCACGCCATACTTTATATTCCCAGAGGAGTTCATCTCACAAAGAAGTTTGTCAAAACGTAACTGCAGCCTAGAATTCTAGGCTTTTAACGGGGAGATTAATTAAATCCACTTTCACTTTCAAGACGTGAGCTGATGTCTTGCGCGACGGTAAAGGACGGCATTCTATTATTCAGCAGCGGACCGCTTTCCTGCTCTTAAAGCTCCCGGATTTCAGTCCTAAAAAAAAGTAAAGAAACACACGCTCGCAAAAAGGAAGCGAAAGAACACGGGCTAGTGTTTTCCTGTATTTTTTTGCTTTTTATTCGGAACCGGAATAAAACGGAAGATACCTCAGTTTTTTTTTTCTTCCTTTCATCCCATTGCCGACAAAGCGAATGGTAGGTGACGCAAACAAAGTGAAAGCCCCTGTAATTGGAGCGAATGTCGCCCCAGGGAACGACATGGGAGCAATGTACTCCAGTGCAGTTAATAGGACCCACTGGATCCTTTTTATTGGTGTTGCGTAAGGATCCAAAGGCCCTGTGTCAGTGTCACAAGTCGCCCGGCCGCTCTGAGACCGGGAACGCATGCGCTGTGCTATTGCCACGCGGAGTTCGTGGAAGAAACGCAGTGTTATCTCTTTTTGAAGGGAACAAATAAATAAGAAGTAAAAGAATCCAAACCGTATCAAAATACGACATGGACAATAATGAAAGCAAACGGAAGGGAGTGTAGGGCTTTTCAGATTGATAATACTGCTAGGCAAAATATAAATATGAAATGCGCACAAACGACAAAAACACGTTAAGATAAATGCCGCTCCATGCACACTCTAAGAAATGGCTGGGCGTCTACCCTTTAAAAAAAGTCTGTGCGTCTACTTTCACCCACACCACTCGGAGAGCCAATCACCGTAACTTACGGAGGCAGCCCAGCGAATGACGATGCCGAAACATATATGTTTAGACCAAAAAACGCAGTCTGAGTTGTGACATTAAGCAATGCAAGCGCGACGTTTCGCATTGCTTAATGTCACAACTCAGACTGCGTTTTTTGGACTAAACATATGTTTCGGCATTGCGATTCGCTGGGCTGCCTCCGTAAGTTGCGGTGATTGGCTCTCCGAGTGTTGTGCGCGAAAGTAGACTTACAGACATTTTTTAGAGTGTAGTTACTCGCAAAACGCTCAAAGCGCCAACCTTTGCGATTTACGAAATCAGCTCAGCGAATGATGAGGCGGAACATCCCTTGAAACCGAAAAATGAAGTCTTCGCTGTGGCATTATGCAATGCAAGGCGTCATGCTTGCAATGCGTAATGCAGCAGCGCAGACTTAATTTTGAGGTCTAAACAGATGTTCCGTCTCATCATTCGCTGAGCTGATGTCGTAAATCGCAGAGATTGGCGCCTTGAGCGTTCTGCGGGTAAGTAGACGCGCAAGCATTTCTTAGAGTGCACTGTTGAAAACTTTGATGAAAGTCGCGCGGCGCAATCCTTATAAGCTCGCGTAAAAGAGCCTTTAAGTGTATGCTGCACCAAACGTTATAGGGAATAACACTCGTTTTAGGTTCATTCGAGTAGCGGTAAAAATATTCTTTCTTTAAAGTTTCTCACAACAAACACAATGTTTTTTAATGAAATGTAATAAAAGCGACAATTGGCCCCCTCTTGTTCAATGAAACCATAATATCAGTGGAAACATAAATAAAAATAACGCTTTTTCATATCGAAATTGTGAGAAGATTGGAGAACAATAGTGATCGTACTTCTCATTTGTTGAACATATAAAAAAAAAAAATCGATTCCATTGCGTTCCAAGGCAATTCGGCGCAGTCAGCATCCGGATACATCCGAACGTGGAAAGTGATCGGAGTAAACACCTAGTTAGTTTCGAAACTTATTTTGTAACATAAAAGTGTGCGACATTTTAGTTACCAATACACACTGATTAGCAAAACATTACGACCACCCCGTCAACGTGGGAATGAGCGCGCCTAGCTGACGCGCCACACACGTTATCTACCAGCTTCTAGATGATGCGAATGGTATACTATCATCATCACTACCACCGCTAGACACCCCTTGACTCATGGACTACTGGAAGATCTCACGGGCGCGTGCCCTGGCCAATTCGCCGCACGACACAGCGCGACCCACATTTCTGTTCTTTTCTTTTCTTTTTAAAGGTAAGAGACTAGTCCACGCTTACCCGACAGGTGTCATATAGTAAACCAGAACATTATAGACGCCATGGTTCCTCGAACTATACGAAGGCGATGGGAGAAGATGGTAGCTTCTCTCATTGCGATCACGTGCGTTTTCCCACATCCCGCTGATTTCGCCCAAAAGGCACATTAAAAACTACCGCCGTAATACTATCAAAAAAAAGAAAAAATTCGGCGCACTTACAGGCGTCCACAAACTGGTAGGTCCCGTGGAAGACGTCGGCGGTGTCGTTCTCGTAGTCGGTGTAGAAGCCGATGACGAGCGTCTTATGCATGGAGATGCGTCGGCGCGGAAAGACGCGTCCGCAGTAGCGCCCGCCGAATGGCGTGCTGATCAGGTCGCTGCTGGGGTCCTCCACCTCCGTGTACAGGTCCACGTACTCGCGGCTGCAACTGAGGGAGGAGATAACGACGCCTCGTTAATTCCTATAGTCGGGAAACACAGAACATCAAGAGGGTCTTGTGCTCTCCCCACCGCTGGGGCGACGATGTTCCTGTGGTGACATATGGGTATACATCTATACCAACTATAATCATGCCTATTAAACTAGCTCAGCGAGCGCAGGGGATAAGGCCTCGGATTATTGATCGAGTGGTCGATGGTCCGCCGAAAAACAGACTTTCGTAAAAGACAACTGGATCGCCTACTTTCCCGCGAAGCAAGGAGGCAACCAGTCGCTGCAATTTATGGAGACAGGTCGGTCAGTGCCGACGCTAAACTTATGGATAAAAAAAAAAAAAACAATCTGCGCGGTGGTTTTGAGCATGGCATTTCCCCATGCTCAGCGTCACAGTGCAGAGTGCTTTGTACGTCTAAACATATTATCAGCTTCATCATTTGCCGAACTCATGCCGCGTGTAGTCTTTCTTTCATGAATTCGATGCCATGCGGCCTTCGAAGCAGGGATCTCGTGGTGATGTGCGTTCGAATCTGTGCGCAGGCTGTCTTTTCTATGATGTACAAGCAGTGTGACCCCAGCTTTAGAATGTGATCATGCTATCATGCTTTCGTTAAACATTTCGTGACGCCTTTAGCATGCAAACTGACCCTGATACACATTCTGTGTTGAAAGGAAAGGAACGTAAGGAACGTGTAACCCCCCCCCCCCCCCCCCTTCCCATTACCTCATTGTACCAAATATCCCAACTTTCCATAACTTTATACGGTACAGCCCTGTTGCATTCCCTCTCAAACGTGCCTGAGTGTATTTCGTAACACGGGTTTGCTTTAATCGGTTTAACCGCTGAGGCATCCTGCTTCGATTGATGTGCAGTATTGTACTGGACAAAGTTTCTTACTGACACGACGAGACCAATAACATAAATGACTGATAGCCTTTTTCACTGACTAAATTGTTCGCAGGAATGCCCAATACTACTAATAATGATCATTATATATACTCCCGGCAAGTGAGAGGGAGAGGAGAAAAAACTGAACGGAGCAGCTTGACAAAGCGCCGCCGGCCATCCCTTGGTGGTAAGAGACGCCACAGTAGAAACGCAAATAAAATTGCTCGAAAACGGATACAAAAGAAAAACAAACATCTAACCAGCATCTGACGAGATTACTTAAAAGGAACAAATATAAAGTGTGAAATTAGCAACGTTTTTGGTGATCCTTTCACAGCGATGTCGTCTGTTCAGGAATGTGGGTGTGCAGAGGAGAGGAGGCCTAGGGTGGCTCCGTAGAATGTTTTAGACTTCGGAATAGTCAATTTATTTTGATAACATATGTTGCACGAAAACACATGCATACCTGATAAGGAGAGAGAGAGAGAGAGGTGGCGTGAGAGAAGCAGGGGAGGTTGTTCTAGCGGGAATGCTGAACTGGTTCCCCATGAAAAGAAGTAGAGAGAAAGGAAAGAAAGGGGGATAAAGAGAGGGGGAAGTAAAATAGAGAAAAATAAAATGAAGACGTGAACGCGCTAAGAGTTAATGTCGAGTTATTTCACAGGCGGTTTGCGACACCGGATTCGTCGAGGAAGTTCAGTAGCAGGTGTTGTATTATTTGGCGGCGACGGGCCGAACCACTTGGATAGATGATGTCCTCGTCGTCTGGATCACGAAGTCCAATTCTGGCGAGCTCAGTGACGAACCGTTGAGGTTCGTCACTGAGCGCGATAAAGGTATGTTTTTTGTTATAGCAGGCGGTTCTGAAGAAACAACCAAGTCAGAGTGGAGGGAAGAGATATTAAATATATATTAAAGTCAATAAATACGTCTTACTATGGGTCTAGCCCACGTTACATTTGATATAATTCGCCCTACTCTTTTTGTGCGGTTAACAGTTTAAGCCAGTTTTCTTCAGTTGTTCCGCATTTAACGAGACAGTAGGTTATATTTAGGAGAAACAAAGAAATATATATAAGTAATTTAATACTTTTTGATAAGATGTTTCGGTGCATATTCAGTACCCCATCTATTTTATTTTATTTTGACAGCACTTGATCTGTATTACGAATTTGTCCAAAAACCCTGTGAAAACTACACGCCCAAAATTTTAATGTAGTGAAAGAATACAGTTCTGTTCGTATCTAGACTTAAGCTTACAGATAAAGATATTGACTTATTCGTTGACTTAAATCGTATACTTTTTTTTTTGTTTGCAGTGTAATGTTTAAATAATTTTAAGTGGTCTATGCTTTAGAGATGTCAGAAAAATATTTACGTCGCATACCTCTTTGTAAGTGTGGCTATTCATACAAAATAAAGTCCCCTCGTCTGCGTGCGCAGTTAGTGTAACTTCAGAGTCAATAAAAAACACGTCATCTATTTATCAGAGAAGATATAACCGCACTTTACACACCCCAAAACAAACTACACATCGCCAAGCGCTCAGCCTCCGGCCAAATGCGGCACTTGCAGTTGGGACATGCCAAAGTTTCAAACCTTACCGTTGTCTAATTAAAAACAAAACACACACACACACACACACACACACACACACACACACACACACACACAAACACACACACACACAAACACACACACACACACACAAGATTTTTGGAAAAGAAATGGGGGTCACCGAAGCCTGCGAATACATGGACCCAAATGGTGTGCTGGAAAACACAAAAAAAATAAAAAAAGAAACATACCCTATTTTATCATTCAAAGTTGCATAAAATCGATTATAACTTTTTAACTGCATATCTCCCAAACGCATTGCAAGAATGAAACCGAACATGCTTCCCTGTGGTAGACTATAATGAAGTTCTATAATATGTTTATTAAGGCAAAAGGCTAACCAAGACATTCTGATCCTAGCATGTATTCTTCAGTTAATAATATCACTGTTGCACGAACGACATTGCTCCGTAGTTTCTAGAGTCGTAAAATAAGATGCACGTGGTTAATGGCTTTGAAAAGAGTAATGACAATTCCAAGAGTTAGCAGTTATATATATCGGGCGGTAGTTGGAGGTGGCATCTATACATTGCCTCCTTTGTTCAATGTTATTCCTTATGCGGCCTGTATTTGTTGCGAATCAGGGCAGAGGTGAAACTAATGAGTTCTTTAGAGCCCTGCGTATCCGCGGATATCCGCAGTAAACTAGCGGATTCGCCTAAAAATTAATCAAATTTGGCGAATTGCAGATTGGATGAGAATACCTGGGGCTGCGAATGCGGATCAGATATTTGCGGGTCCGGATCCATTTTTCCCATGGCGGACCGTAAACGTGCGACCGTAGAGTGTGCATGAAGTGAATAACTGAGTGATTATATGAAGTGCATCATCGAATGTATTACAGAGGCAAGCTGCTCTCTTAGATAAAAAGGGGCCAATCGGGCAGAAAATTGCTCCTTAAGTCAATAACGATTTTATTCTCATCAAACATTGGCTTAGAACGTTCTATCTCGCCATAAATGCTGTCCTGAAGAAAAAGTAAAAAGGCAGAACAATAAGTCGTCCTTGGAAGCGTGTTCTTGTTTGGCAACCAAAGAGCAGAAAACGTTTTTTGGGCAAGAAAAACCCGAAAACGTAGAAGCCACAAGAAAGTTGGAGAAGCCTGCGAGAGGCTTTTTGAAGAAGACTGATTTCGATCCTTTGGAGTGGGGAACTTGCCCCAGCACGAGTTTCTGGACCTCATTCTTGCAGCGCAGTTTGTGCATGACATCCCAGCATCAAGTGCACAACGAAGAAAGACTTCTCATTAGCGGGTATTCATTCAAAAGAGGCGAACCAGCTTAAATTCCTCCGAGTTGACGACAATATGTTTCTTCTACACAGCAACCTCGACAAATGAAATGTGGCGTGTGTTTGTGTGTGTGTTTTCTTTTTCTCGACAGTTGGCACTGAGTTGTTTTTAAGGGCTGTATAACACGAGAGCGCACGGCACTAGAGCGCCCACGGCAGAGCGCACGACAGCAAAGCGCCGCAACACCAGAGCGCACGACAGCAGAGCGCCGCAACACCAGAGCGCACGACAGCAAAGCGCCGCGACACCAGAGCGCACGACAGGAGAACGCCACGACGTGAGAGCGCGTGTAATTAGAGTGCGCGTTACGAGAGTGCTTCTGCACGCCTTGAGAATGATCGATATTGGGTGTAACGAAAGCCAAGAAAATGACAAAACCCGTGTTCAAAGCGCAGAAGAAAAGCTCAATGGAAGAACGACAAGGAGAGCGCTCACCCTACCTTTGACAGAAGCAGAGAAAGGCACACCCACACATCATTGGAACACGCTAGAATTCAAAATGTTCGTCCTATTAATTTAACGGCGAAATACACGAGGACATTGACACAACTATGCAGTGCGAACTACCGTAGAGCGCAGTAACATAAATAATCGGTCAAGGTAGTTATTGCTTTATTGTTTAAGTGACGACCCATTTTAAGATCAAATATTCATTTCACTGAATTAAGTGTGCACTGAATTGAGATGAAAGCAGCCTCGTACAACAAATTAAGCTGGGCGAAGTGGCACAAGCGAGTTAAATGCAGCGGTCTGCAGTAACATCATTTATTCGAATTAATTTGGTTCTGGTTATCTATCCTTACAGAATGCCGCTTGAGCCTATGTAAGGTATTTAAATAAATAAATAAATAAACTCAATACATTACCGTGCAACTGTCATCGCTGCCGCTCATAGCGTCACTATAAAATTGGTCACTAGTTTTGCATTCTAAACAATTCTACTTTACATTTTTGGCCCCCTAGAAACAAAAATTAATTTTACATATCAATATCGGTGAAACAAAAAATTGGTTTAGCGATGAGCTCTTTTTCTAGGATTTAAACATTTCAGTTATTTACTGAGAGTAAGGCTACAAGCTCCTATCTTGCGCGCAAGTGTTATATCCTTATCATGTCTAATTCTGGCAAACGTCGGGAAAACGTCAAATTTTGAACGTGCGAGAAATCAATCCGTTCGTTTCTATGATTAACGACG